ATTAGACGCAGTTAAAGCTATGCTTAATGATGGTAAAATGGGAAAAGAATGGTGGGCAGAAGCTCTTGGCTGTTTCGTACATATGTGGAACAGAGTACGTCATAAAAGCAACCGAACCCCTTATGAAATGTTCCTAAATAGAAAACACAGTGTTGTTTATTTTAAGATATTTGGTTGTAAAGCCTATGTTGGCGTGCCAAAACAGATTAGAAATAAATTACAAATGAGGTGCAAAGAAGGAATCATGGTAGGTTATGTGAAGAAAACTAGGTGTTATAGGATATGGCTGCTAGAAGAACGCAGATTAATAGAAACCTGTAATGTGAAGTTCGATGATAAACTGTATGCAGTAAATGGCATCCTGGAACAGAAATCAAAACCTAAATTTAAAAGACTAGAGGAATCTGAGCTATTAGCAGAATCAGATGAAGAACAGGAAATTTCTAGAGAAGAAATAAAGTTGTCAGATGACAAATCTACTCCAAAAGAAGTCTCAGACTTAAACTGGCAAAGAAAAGCAGTTAAAAGGCCAGATGGAACACGTACAGACATATATTATTATGTAGAGGGAACAGACACCCGTTTTAGATCCTATAATGATATTGAAAAGTATTGTGAGGCAAGAAATATTAAATATGAAAAAGATAAGTTCGATTTTAGTGGAAAAAACGAATACTCGGGGAAAGTTAATTTGGTAGAACAGGAGACTAGCTCTGTGTCTGAAGAGGCAAATTCCGTAGAAATAGTTATCCCACAAAATTTTAAAGAAGCACGAAATCAGTAAATGCCGAAGAATGGGATAAGGCAATGAAAGAAGAAATCAACACAATAAAAAAAAAAAGGTTTGGGAATTAGTCGAAAAGCCAGAAAATAAAACTATAATAGGAAACAAATGGGTCTATACGCTAAAAAGAAATGAAAAGAATCAAGTGGTTAGATACAAAGCATGCTTAGTAGCACAGGGATTCAGGCAGAAAAAAGGTGAAGATTTTGATGACGTTTACAGTCCTGTAGTAAATTTTTCAATCATAAGAATATTTTTCACTATACTGGTATGTTTATATGGATGGACTAATTGTCAGTTAGATGTAAAGAACGCGTATTTATATGCAAACCTAAATGAGAAAATATATATGACCCAACCAGAGGGATTTATCGAAGAGAAAAATAAAGTGTGTTTATTACACAAGGCCATTTACGGTCTACATCAAAGCGGCCGTGAATGGTTTTGTGAATTTGAAAGTACTTTAGAAAATCTACATTTTAAGAAAATACAATGGTGTAATTGTGTTTATAAGGGTTCAAATGTAATTCTCTTGTTATATGTAGATGATATTGTGATTTTTAGTAAAGATCAATATAGTATAGATAAAGTAATTTCACAGCTGAGTAAGTTTTTTGATCTTAAAGTATTAGGCAAAACTAAAACGTTACTTGGAATTGAATTCTTAGAGAATGAGAATGGGGTTTTTATACATCAGCAAAAATATATCGGAAGAAATTTTTGAAAAATTTAAACATTTCCAGATACCAATAACTTCACTTCCCATAGCTAAGGGCACTCACTATTCTTACAAAATTAGATTGTCCATCTACAAATGTAGAAATTGCGGAAATGCATACATTACCCTTTAGAAATCTGTTAGGATATTTAGTTTTTGTAGAGAACAGGACAAGGCCTGATATTACATATGCAGTGAATATCTTATCACAATTTCAGGAGAATCCTGGAATTAGGCATTGGGAAGCATTGTTGAAATTGCTTGATTAGCTCAATAGTACTAAATTATATAAGTTAAACTTATCGAAGATTAAACATCTAAATTTATATTGTTATTCAGATGCTGATTATGCAAGTAATAGAGATGACCGCGTGTCCATGGGAGGATTTATATTATATTTAGATGAAGTACCTGGTAATCTGGAAAACTGTTAAACAAAAATGTGTAAGTTTATCAATCCATGGAAGCGGAGTATATCACTTATCTGAAGCAGCGAAGGAATTAATGTGGACGAAAAATGTCTTACAAGATGAAATTTTAAAGTTTAATTTAAGAGAGTGTAAACTATTTTGTGATAACAAGTCTGCCATTGATTTTTCTAGATCGCCAATAGAAAATCGCCGAACTAAGCACATAGACGTAAAATATTACTTTGTTAGAAGACTAGTAAATGATGGAGTGTTTGACCTTGAATTTATCACCAGTAAATTAAATACTGCCGGACTTATTTACAAAAGCAGCGACTGCTGTTAATTTAAGAAAAGTTTTGTTTAGATGTTTTCAGTGTTTAAAGACAATAAGTGTTTTCGTATAATAGAATTGAACTATGAACTTCTGTGAAAGTTTTGTTTTTGTCTTTGCATGGGGAAAAGAGGGCTGTTTGTTGGCTTTAGTTTTCCACATGCAAATTTTGATCGGAGGTCAATCGGCGGTAAGCTAACGTGGTTGCCGCTGATTAAGCGATGACGTCAAGATCGGCGGGATGGCCAAGTATAATATATATGTACGCCGGTATCGGTGAATCTTGTTTTTTTGTTTCTTGTTCTCTTGTGTGATTATCAGTTAGCTTTATGCTAGTTTGCTTTCACTAAATGATTTTAAAATGTAAAGGCTACAGTATTAGCTCTTTTATTTTATTTACGGAATAAAGCAAGAATTTTATTTAGTTTAGTCTTAGCTTTATTTAAGGGAAGCAAAACATGCTTTGCCTTTATCACCACTGCCAACATGAACAAAGTGGTGAAGTCTGAAGCGCTACACAGTCTGAAGGCAGTTTCAGAAATTTGGAAATTTCTGCCTTGATAATTATTATTGCAGTTCTGGGTGACCATCCGTTGTAAACAAGGAGATCTAAAACAGTTTAAAAAAGTTTCTCTGAAAATCAACATTATAGAGTTAAAAAACCTGCCAGATAGATTAAGCATTCTATAAAGTATACAGTGAATGATCATTTAAATAAGACCGAGTATGTAAGCTAAAGGCTGCTACTGTGCATAGGTACCTTATATTTTAACAGAGCAGAATATGCTTGCTCCAATTTTGGCATGGTAGGCTTTTTCCTGACACAAAATAAAGCTCTTTTCTTTTTAACCACTTGCGCTATGGCTAAACTTTACGGTTGTGGTGCCGTGCACTACAATATAACAAGCGGTAAAGTGTCTCATTTACACCGCTCCGCGTCTGCGAGTGCAATCCAGAGCTGTAACTCAAGAAATAAACAATATCGTTGTTAGGCGACGTGTGCACCACGTTATTTTCATTTTTGCAATAAATGCCTATCGATGTGGTGCTCACGTTGCTCGCGGTTTGAGACAAAAGTATATCTTTGTGCATGGCACGTCTTTTTAGTGCAAGTGGTTAAATGGCTCATTACTTGAGATGAAAATTGAACACTGTATAATAATGTTAACAAGAAAAAGATCACAGGGTAAGCCAAATGAACCTCTTTCAGTAACATTAAATGTGTCTGCATCCCAATGAGAAATGCTTTGTGTATATACGGTGACATACAAAGGAATTGTATTCCAAAATGGCAATTTTAAAAGCAGACATTGAAGCAAAACACATAGAACTGATCAATTTATTAAGGTGTTGTTCCTCATCATAACAATACTTCATCGCATAGTTCAAAGAGTCAATCAATCATTCAGTATGGCCAGGATGTTTTGTGTCAACCCCATATTCACAAGACCTTGCAGACATTTGAATTCTGATCTCATCAGATCTCTTCAAAATTCTCTGAATGTTCCAGAGCTCACTTTTTTTAGAAACTATCACATAGCAACTCAACCTGTTTATGAAAAAAACATAATGATTTCTTAAAAAGGACTATTTCAGCTGATCGACAGATAACAAATGAAATTTTTTATGTTCTTGTTCTGCTTCATTTTCATTTGACATCAACAAACCACAAAACTTTCCAGGTGGCTAATATATGAATGCAAACTATAAAAGGATTTAAATTTTACTATCTATCTTACATGCAGCATTATTACACAACGTGGAAGTGAATCTCTAGTACAAAGAACAGATTTTTTTCTGTTGCACTCACTTTAAATTATATGAATGTGAAAGAAATAATTTTATTATAAAAAAGTTATAGGTATATGAAAAATACACAAGAAAGTAATTTAAAATTAATCAGTTTTACTTTTTCTTTAACCAGATTAATTTCATACAGACAATCTGTGCACATTATAAGGTATTTCTCCCGCCTTCATGATGTGGTGGTCTGCACGCTGGGCGCGTATTCCAGAGGTCTGCGGTTTGATTCCCGGCAAAGTCGTTGCATATTTTTCATCTTTCCTGCTTCCAAAATACGTAATGTCTTTGCAGTGGCGCCTGAACTAAAAGGGTAGTGGATAATGAATTTTCTCACCCAGGATTTGGCAATAGGGTCCCTAAAAACCCAGTTGCCCTTTAAAAAAGGGAGTATATAAGGTATTTCTCCCGTCTTCTTGGCATGCGTTTGTGGTGTGGTGGTCTGCAAGGCGGGTGGGTATTCCAGAGGTCCACGGTTCGATTCCATGCGAAGGGATTGCATATTTTTCATTTTTCCTACTTCCAAAATACCTAATGTCTCTACATCATTACTTTATAAAGTTTTATTACACACTTCTGCAATTTTGCACTCTACTTGCAAATTTAAAAACAAATATTATATATGCGTTGCATAAATTTCTCCCAGTTTCTGAAAATTTTAACATAGGCAGGCATCGTTACTCAATATGCAAAAATCAGAAAAAAAAGGGGGGAAGAACGTTTACCAAATTTAGGAGCAATGATGCATACAGAAAATTTTCTCTCTGTCCAATTAACCAATTAATCCAATGCTTGAAAAGAGATATTTAAATCGAACAATAAAATTTTCCATTTTGTCTTTCAAAATAAATAATTGTGAACTTTGGTGCTTTGTTAAAATTTCTAAGTATCTATAAAAATATATAATGCAATAATTGAATATCAACTGAAGATAAATGGAATATTTACTATGCTTACCTGTCAAAGTTGTAGGTCCTCCAGGTCCTTGATTTAATTGCATAGCATTTAGATTTGGATTTGGAAATGAAGGACCACTAACATTAGAGTTCATGTTATTCATGCAGCCTAATAAAGGGCTGCCTGATGGCACCATTTGCCTGACATGAGGCATTGGACTTGTAAACCTGTGATTCATGGAAGACGAGGATGCATTAAGTCCAAACTGTTGAGGTGACCATGGCTGTGGACACATTTCATTAGGCATTGTAGGTCCCAAGCTAGTCCCTCCGCAACTATTAGGCCAAGAAGGACCACGAGGGGCAGAACACATACCTGGCCCATGCATATTGCAGGAACCAGGACAAGGAGTTGTTACAGATCCAACTGATGCTCCAGGAAAGCGACTGTTTAAATTATGTCCTGGAAACTGGTTTAAAGTGTTTTTCATCTGACGTCCAGATTGTTTCATCTGGGCAAGTGTATTTAACCATGCAGCAGGATTTTGTCGATTGAACTGCTGAACTTTTAATGGATATTTCTGAAAGAGAATCAGATTAAATTACTGAAATATTACCTATTCTTAAAGACACTATCAGAAAACAAAAAACAACAATTAATTAATTAATTAATTGTAATTGTCAGAAAACAAAAATTAATTAATTGCATTAAAAGTTGTAAAGAATGAGAAAAATCTAGCACACAGGGTTCATAGCCACATTTTAGTTAAAAAAATAAGCACCTATAAGCACTTTTCAAGCACATTTTAAGAAAAAAAATAAGCACCTGCCTAATTACATCATACACAACTGCATAACCTTAAAAATTAGACTTGTAATTTAAAATATGAGAAATGAAGTACTTATTAAGAGAGAATAAGCATTACCTCAACCATGGAAAATAATTACTTTTTTTGGTTTTTAATTTTAAATAATAGTTCAGTTTACAGAACTAGTTTACAATGAGAGGAAAAAAAAAACTATGAAGAACTAAACTATATTACAAGATTTAATGATGAAATTTCAGTTCAAAATAGAGAAAATAAATAATAATAATAAAGCATATTTATTGTATTCGCAAGGACAGTAAAACTCTTTTAAGTGCTCATAAACAAATCTCGGACTGAACATCAAAATTAATTATCTCTGCAAAATATCGCAAACGTTATTGCCCAATACGTGCACTGTAATTCTTCCCTACGTGATATTACGCAATCGGAATCAACAACTGCTGGTATTGAGAGAAAAAAGAACTAAATAACTGGAGTGTTTTGCATTCTAATTTTCAACAGACGGCGTTAAAATTCCGGAATAGAATCATTCTTCGCTTGGGTTGGTAGACCGCAGAACTTTTAGTCCTATTCAATCCAGATTGGAAAGTGACCCCCCCCCCAAAAGAAAGGTCCGCTGGTTGTTTTGCAGCGAACTGTAACAGTTTCAATATTCAAGATTTTGCGGAGAAAGGGGAGACCTCCCAACCTTCGTACTGTTTAATGTATTGGCCAAAAAAAATGAAACTATTTTGACTATTCGATTACTTTCCCTTTATTTAAGCCATTCCAAATATTATTCCTTAGAAAGCTAATCTGTGTTAAAACACAACCATTTTTGGAAGTTTACTATACTTCAGCAGTTACTGCAACTATGTTGTTATAAACATTCATACATATGCTCGCATAACGATCATAATAAACACGAATATGAACTGACCAAGCAGAACGAGAATGCAAATCTTTTGAGGATCTTGATATAAATTCAAACGTGTGTAGTATTTGGGTGGGAGGAAAAGAATGCCGAATATAGCGGAATTTTCTACTGCTTTCGCAATTCTTTGACCAATAGAACGACGGGCACCTGTCTGTACTCTTCGTGCACACCAAAGGTTATGTTAATGCAGAAAAAGGGGGAGTATGACTCACCATCTGACATTCCATATTAGGAAGAAAAGTTGTTTATTTAATTTCAGCTTCGTTACGGCGAAAATAGCACATTCATTAAAAAAAAAGCACTTAAAGCAAAAAATAAGCACTAAAAACAAAAAAATAAGTGCTTTAAAGAAAAAGTAAGCACCTATAAGGGCCTTTATATTTTATTTTCAAATATAAGGACTTATAAGCACTTATAAGGACCGCCACGAACCCTGAGCACACTATAAAATTTTTAAATTACAAAAAAGAGAGTTCAGAAAAATTTGTATTTTTCTTAATGTGCAAAAATGATGAGACCGCTGACTGTACTGCAACCTGTACACATTCTTTAAAAATATGATTATTTCTTATTTTAACAGCTGAACTCAAGACCTGTTTCATTTTAAAAGCAATAAACACCAAGTAAAGTATTAGTCATGGTATACCTCAAGAAAGGATTTTGTCCCAGGTTGAGCACAGTGAAATGCAATAATGGATGGAAAGTGGCCTGATAAATATGACTCAGCTGCCTTGTTAGCAAGAGTAGTTGAAAACACAAAAATCTGACTCTGCTGCTGCATATACTGAGTTTCCATTTGAAAGGATGTCTTATTAACCATGTTACTGGGTAGAGGCTGGACGGATGCAGTTGTGGCTGGTGCAGAAGTGGACCCTACCATGCTAGACATGGCTGACATAGGAGGGATATCTAGGTTAAAGAGATAAAAAGAATTTTACTTGTACACACTTTTAACCTAGAAAAGTACAACCTATAACAGGTAACATACTGTACAAGAAAAATTTATATTATAATTGACAGAAAAGAAAATTATAGTTTAACAGATCAATCAACATCTAAAGAATAAAGCATATGAAATCTAAATAATGCCAACCATTTCCTGAGTTCCCTGATGATGGAGGGGCATTCTCCTTGTTACTAGTTACTGAACTGCTATCACTAGGAATATCACTCATAGGTTGCAGATTCACTAAAAAAAGGAAATAAAATAAAAACTGAAAAAGCTATTTTGTCAGAACATAATAAATAGTATTAAAACTGAAGCAATAAATGTTTGTTCAGAACTATAATGAAAAAATTTATGAGAACAAGGAAAAAGTAACAACAATAAAATTCAGGAAAGCTGAATTAAAATAACTCTAATTTAGTCCAAGGGGAAAAAAATTCACATATCAGGCACAAACTAAAATAGATAGAAAATTTACATATTTATGCAATAACAACAATTTAATATTTTACAATAAGTTTAATGCACACACCTTCTTGACTACTGTCTTTAGAAGATGGTACTGCAGCAGACGTAGAAGCTGAGGTGGAATTATTACAACTAATGCCATTCCCACATATACCTCCATTTCCATTGCTAGCAGCAGCACATGTATCTTGCGTGCTACCACAACTTGTAGCACAAGCATTCGAACAGGAATTAGCACACATATTTGACAAAGAGCCAGATTTAATGTCCATCATAGAACTACTCAAACTGCTAGTTATTGGAAAATTACCTTCACTGATATTCAAGTGACCATCACAATGGTTCATGTTAGAACTTTTACTGCTCTCTTCAGTTTTCACAAAATATTCTGAAATACCATTTCCATCAGCACTGGAAATTTTCACTGATGCAACTGCACCATTATGTTTTTCATGACAAAGAGAATCTGTACCATTTATATCTTGTTTAACAGTCCCATTACTGCATTCTAAAAAAGTCTTTTTCTCCAGCATAACCTCCAAATCTTCTCGCTCACGATTTATGAGAAATTTATTGATTTCTTCTTTATTTTGAAGTGCTTTACTTTTTTTATCCTAAGAAGAAAAAATGACATACAATGCATTTTTAAGCTATAAAATGACATTTAACAAATTAGCTAAAAAATACTGGAGGACATAAGCTATTTATACTAAAAAAATTGCAACAGGATGAACATAGTTTAAAGCCCAGCATTGGAAACTATCATATAATTATATTCACAATGTGAAATTTTTTTAATATAAATTAAACTGAATAGTTAAAACATTATGACCATTTACTCAATAACACATTGCGTAATCTTTGGCCTGCAACTCACCTTGGCATGGATGTCACAAGTTCTTCGTAGATGCCTGGAGACAGGCTGTAACAAATGGTTAAGCAGCGGTCCCGCAAAGCTTAGACATTTCGACTTAGTGGTGTTTCAGCTCTTAGCTGCCACTCCTTGACATCCCAAATATGATCTACCAGGTTAAGATCTGGCAAATTAGGTGGACAGGAAAATTCATCCTTATGCTCCTCGAATCACTCTAACACAATTTGAGCCTTGTGACATGGGGTGTTCTCCTACTGGAAGATCCCATTTCCAGTTGGGAAGACGTTATGTAAGGGTGCAACTTATCCACAATTATGTTGTTATGTTCAGATTGTCCACAGCTTAGGTGGTCTGTTCTACCGCAACTAAGGTTCCTAGAGCCCATGAGAATGTTCCTCAAAGTATAATAAATACCACCACCACATATGACCTGCTGTACTTTCATTGAGGTAAGCCAACTGTTTGCCTGGAAGACGGCATACCCTGACATGACCATCCATATGATGAATGAGAAATCATGATTCGTCTGACCATACAACTGCCGTCCACTTATGCATGGTCCAGTCTCAAAGTTCCTCAGCACACTGTAGGCATAGTTGACAATGACACTTGGTCAACAGAGGCACACAAGTGGGACATCTGTTGCACACTCTCATATCCAACAGTGTCCACTTAACTGAGAGTTCTGAAACACTTGCACTTGACCTGCATTGTATTAGACTGCCAGCTAAGCCACTGTCTGGTGCCAATTTTGCTGTACCAAGCAGCACAGTCTTGATGCTTTCTTTCTTTGATGATGCATGGACGTCCATCACATTATTTTACCACTGGTTTCACCGTCATTTATTCACACTGCATAAATACTAATGGAAGATTGTGAAGAACCTATCAGTCGTGCAGTTTCAGAGATACTTGTTCCAAGTCTTTGGGCCATTACAATCTGCCCTCGATCAAATTCACTTAGATCAGCAGCTTTTCCCATCACTAGCACAAGTAAGTGCAAGAATAATTCCTTACCTTCTCCAGTAGAAGTAAAATACCATTCCCACTTGATCACGTGCCTTCCACGCGATTCAGATGAGTTCACTGAAAATGTGGGGATGATCATAATGTTTTGGCTTCTCAGTTTAGTTTTAAAATTACTTCTGAACATTCTTCACATTCTAAATCCAATACATTATTTTCCCTAAAAAATAGGTAGACCCTATAATACTGTTGCAAGCTATAGGTTCACTGATATCATTACAGATAAGCAAGAAGAAACTAACAGTTTATTATAAATACTAACACGAAATAAAATACATAGCTGTAAATAGCTCAAGAAGAATGCAGATATTAAGCAACTGCTCTGCATGAGAAATATTGTTAATACTCAAAATCATCCTTAAAATAAACTCTAAAATACAAACTTTCACACTTAACTTTCACAGCTAATTAAGAACTAGTTTATTTTGGCTCTCAGAGCCACATGCATACAGTGTTTGATTGGGCACAGATATGGTGCAGCACAAGCTTTTGGAAACTTTGGGTAATACATAGGCACCATAAATCAGCTTTCCAAAATCCTCTAGAAAGTCGCCAAGTTGATAAGATATCGCTAAATGTCACTATCTTGCAGATAAAAATTGTGATAAAGACTCATCAGAAGCATAGTTGCCCATATCTTGCAGTCTACTTGAGCTACAGAGTTTAAATCTAGTTGAACTCATAAAAGATCTGCAAGAATTAAATTTTTATATACAAATCTTGCAGCCACACATTCAACTGCACATAAAATGCACCGAAAAAATAACACCTTTAAAGTAAAAATATACATAATATTACAATATATAAAAACAACACAATCAAATAAACTCAAATGTTTACATATATTTACCATATTATTTTCATAAAGAGAAACAACTTTTTGATCCAATTAAACTGCATTTTAAGAATGAAAGAAAACATTAATGAAATTGCCACCAGAAAGGAACATTAAAATAAATTTCAATTCTATAATAAAGAAGTGTTTCCTCCACCAGATGAAGAACATTTAACAAAATTTCCACATAACTATACGTATCACTAAGTCCAGAAATTTTTAAAAGCAACTTTTAAAATAAAGAAAACCATAAAAAGAGCCCTAGAAAAATTACACCTCATTTACTACTGACTAGTTTAAAGTTTATATGGAATTTGCTTATAATAAGTGTTTAAGAAAATGTGTACTAATTTTCTTCAACACCTAGAAAGCTACTTTGAAGTTTCAAATGGACATTTTTTTAATAAAAAGTAGCAGTTGAAAAGCAATGCTGCTATTTAGCAAACTGTTTTGTTATTTTACCTCAATAAAAAATTGGAAAAAGCTTGATTATCAGTATAACACATTACGATTTTGCTACAAATATAAATGCAAAAGTTAAATGCTTTATACCGAAAATCAAACCATTAGACTACAAAATTACTACACCCTATAAGTTTATTCACACATTCCCTCCTCCTAGCTTTTTTTAGCATATTATTTAGAAACTTTTGATTTAATGATTATCTAGTGTCTGTATGAATTCAGAAAATTAACTCTTCCAAATGAATGATGAGTTTTTAAAATTTCTCAGAAAATTATTCTTTACACATGTATCATAGTCATTCACTACTTTTTTTTTTTTTAATATCCTAGCTACTACTATTTATCATCGGCTTTTCATCATGGTAGAGGAAAAATCTAAGATACATTCCCTCCACCTTTGAAAATACAAAGTAGTTGATCTGTTTGATCTTTTTTTTTTTTTTTAGTGAATAAATTTATAACCTTTAAATATGCAGATAATAAGATAATACAGCCTTTCTCTTTCATCTTTTTGTTTCAATACTACACTCTTGTATTGGTAAAATGAATGTTCCAGTTTAAATTATGCAGTTAAGCATGAAATTTTGTTTTTACACATGGTCCGAGGAATGAATGAAATACAAAGTAAGAAAAACAACACATTCCTTTGAAATACTACAGTATTAATAAACATATTCACACTTTTTTTAATATGCTAAGTACTTTTCACTTAAGCTCACAAATAGAATATGCTATATAAATTTTCCACATTAATTTTCAAGCAGTAAAATTAGAAAAGGGAATGTAGACAAGTAAGTAGAGCACCTATTATTCAGAATATGCTTCTTAATTTTAAGCAGTAATGAATGGTGAGAGATTACCAATGATAATCACTAACAGGGCAGCCCTAAAATACACTACACCAATGACTCATTAATGAACTTCAAATCATGTACATAAATAGCTGTTTTGTAATGTAGCATAAATAAAAGTATTAACTTTAAACTACTTTGAACTAAATTGAACTTTTTTAAATATATGTCTGAAAACATGCATGTATGATGTTTAAAACAGGTGCTACAGGGACTGCATTAAATATGACCATGATCTGTATCTGTACTTAAGTGTTTCTTTAAACAAGGAAAATTTTTTTATGGAAACAATTTTAGCACTGTGGATGAAAGTTTCTAAGAGTATAAAACTCTGACACACTTAATTCAGGTCAGTAAAATAATTGTTATGTTTTCATATGTTACAAGAAAAAATACATGAATATTATTAGACAATTTAGAAAAAAAATAGCCAATTTTCATTTAATATTTAATTAATAGAAGATGAGCTCAGCAACATACAAGCTTGTCATTTGTTACACATAAAATTTCCAAATTAGCAGCAGTAACAACAGTGCTGAAAAATGGCCTGCAAATGCGATGGTCTCTATGAACTTGTTGCTAGTACGTAGTACATAGTGATAACTCCAATTTAGGAAACATTTGATATTAGGCAGGCAAATACTAGCAAGAAAGCTAATAATGTCAAATTGAATTAGCTACTATAGTAAATAATGCATTGATAAAACTAACAACTTAACAAATTTCATCAGAACAAAATATAATCAAGAAAACTTATATAATCATTCACTAATTCACAAATTTCAATAAAATGTTTGGAAAAAAAGTTACAAAATCCAGATGAAATAGGAAGGGATGGAATACAAGAAGCAGCATAATGATAAAGGTTAAGATTGATTAAACTGATGATATTTTTAAATGACAGCAGAATCTTATTCAACAGGATATAGGGAACAACACCCACAGCACAAAGATGCTGATAAGCGATGAATACATTGCAACTTCTTATTTTCTTTCATATTTAAGTCAACAGAGAAATCATGCAGATACTAAATACAGAGGTTAATTTTAGTATCATAATACTATGATACAATATGAGGAATTTTAAAAATTAGTACACTACTACACTTTTCTAAAACTGTCTTGCTTTACAACTCTAATAGAGCAGAGACCATCTTTACTTTTTGGGGAGGCGGTCTTAAAATTTTCCTTCAGGAAACTTCAAAAATAAAGATAAGAAAAATTAACTTTAACATAAATTTTTCAAATTCAAATCTTGGAGATTAGAAGTATTTACAGTTGTCTTTTCATTACTTGACACTGTATCAGAGTGTTAGTAACTGCACTCGAGAATCTCTAGACAAAAAGTAAAGTTTAAAGGAACATACCAAGAATTTTTGCTTTTCATATTTAGATTTCAGATTCTCCAAAATAGCTGAAATTCAAAACCCCCACAAATTCAAATCTGTAAATAAAAACTGATATTTCTTCCTTTTACATGACAAATCACTATTGCTCAGTCTGAAAAAAGCTGTTTCCCATCAGATTAGAGAACTGAATAACTGTTTCTTAAATTAAGCCTTCACAGCACTGAAAATTACTTTGGCTGATGAAGAAGGCCATGCTTTATGGCTTACTGCAGAAGTTTGAATAAGAATTTATTTCATTAGAAACAAAAATTAAGACAAAAGATTATGATTAAATCTTACATGAAGAGTACTGAAAGAGACCAGAATAAAATGTGACATAAATTCAATTAAATCACAAAACTGTACAACTTACAGTCTCTTTTCCCTGTTGTGTCAAAAGCATTTTTATGAGCTATGTTAACATTCACCACAATTCTTTCTAATATGATATAGAGAAGGTATGTGGAAAGAAACTACATATTGAAGAGCACCTGTTAGCTTTGCTAATATCTAATCCATTACAGAACATTATGAGCTCACAATTCAGGGTAAGCAATGGTGCCGTCTATTAAGAGATGGGCAAAACTGCTCCTTTAAGGGATGATATTCGAACCGGTCGCTCACTGAAGTGAATCAATTCTTTTTAACAATTTACTGCTCACTAAGAATAACCTTGATGAATGTACTTGGAACAGGCGTGGATCAAGAGCAGTCTGCAAAGATGTGGGAAAAGGCAGAAAGAATCAAATAAGAAGCAGAATTAATGGAATCAACTCAATCATATTAACTATTCAAGACCTGGACTTAATTTTTTCAACTGTAATTCTGAGATTCTCTGAAAACACCTTTCTACATAGAATTAACAATAAAATTCTAAAATAAAAAATGTTAAAAAAGTTAAAAAATAATGAAAATTAAACTCACCCACATTAGACATTATATTATTTTATTATTATAATAGCTATTTTGTTGCTACTACACAGCACAGTGTAAAAATAAATAGAAATTTATTTTGGCTGATCCCAAAGAACAGGAACATGTCTGCTTACAATACGGGCATTCTCTCTCTCTCTCTCTCTCTTTTTTTTTTTTTTTTTTTTTTTTAAATTTAATTTGACAAAATGATACCACATATCACTTGATGTTTTTCTACACGATAGGGTCGCCATTTTGTTCTATGAGCTTGAAAAAATAGATCAGATGGAAACATTTATGTTGATAAATATATGTAAATCAAAAGATTAAAGAGAAATTCACAGCTCTTGACTACAAGACATTAGTAATGTAAGTAAATAAATAAAAATATAATTTATTATTTTACGTAAATGTTACAATAATATTATATAAAAAAGGTAATACCTAATATACATAGCTATACCTATACTATGACACAGTATTCAAAGAATCAAAATTAAACTCAAAAGGAAGAGCTCCACTGAAACGAAAAGAGCAAACAATGAAGACTACACAGAATCCAGATTTGGGGCAAGGGAGAAGTGCCGGAGTGATGAAAGGAGTGAATAATGAAGTTTCCATAGGAACCAGATCCACAGCTAAAGAAGGAAGAGCCCAAAGAGGAAACTGAGCACTTATAATTTACATACTTTAAACAGATCCTCGAAAATGCCATACATAAGGGGAAAAAACTCCTTCCATTTGCAAACAAGGGTGGTCAGTTTTGCTGAGATGTGTTGTTTAATGTTTTTTTTTAAATACTAGATGGAACACAATCAAATCAAAAGCATACATATATACATGAATAATACACACATAAAAAACATTAAGAGAAATCAAATTTTTGGCATGCTTCCCAACAACAGCTCTCGGTGAACTGTTAAAGAACTTGTTTCATTTTCGCTGAAGTGATGATCATTCATTCAGTAAAGTAAATTAGTTTACGAGTGGATCCTCTAACTCTACTCTCTACCAACTTTCCTCTATTGAAAGGGCATGGAATATATTGTCATAACAATATTCAGGATATCTGAGATCACAACTAGAAGCCATACCTCCATCTGTTCCAAAGAGCATGATTTAGTCTTGTGCACCTCATCCTTTGCCTAAGCTCAGAAAAGAAGCAAGGTGTGAGACTTGGAATTCAGGGAGCCTATTCAGTAATCAGCTGACCTTCATCATTCAAAATAACATCCTGGAAATGAAATCTCGCCAAGCTTGTATGGTAATTTCAAAATATGCTGACATGCCAGTTTGAATGTACAATTTTATTGATGTTCCAAGCAAGATAAAAGGGTTCAAATGTATTCGTGCTACATCATCAACTACCATACATGATATCTGGTATCACATAGAAAATATCATGTCACGGTAAAATATGCATGTAATACTATTCTAAAACTATAATTTTCCAAGAAATTCTATAAATATTAATATATTTTCATATATCATGTCACAGTGAAGTATGCAAGTATGCAATACTATTCTAAAACTGTAATTTTCCGAGAAATTCTAAATATATTAAAATATTTTCATTTTTCCATAGCTAGTTACTTTCTTCCTACTCTGTACATAGTTCTTTCTTTTCTCGTACATACTGACAATCAAACATGCTTCAGTATCCATACTTTTGAGAACAGTTTCACTGATGAATATGTAGAATAATAAAGTGCAACTATCACAGTTTCAACTGCACAAACAGCTAAAAACAGGTATTTATTAAAATACTTCATTACCTAATATGTAAAGAATTATTTACTTACCAGAAGTTCAAGCTCAACAATGGGAAACAATTCAAAGTTTAGATAAGTATACAATTCCTTTTCTTGCACATTAGAAGTTTTCCGAAATTGCTTGATAAAAGAATGCCAGTCGGAGAGGGTTAAACACACACATTCCCAATCCTTCTTACTTTGCTTCTTATGGGAAAATTCCCGATACAACCTTAAATCTAATGCATAAAGGAAAATTAAAACTGATGGATAAATACATTCCATATGACACATGCAAATGCATTTTATTAGCTTCTTTAATCAGAAAAAAAAGGGGGCTTAAAAACTACTATTTATTTGCTTATTCAGCATTATGCTCAAATCTCCTGTTAAAGGAGAAGAAAGAACAGTATTGTGCTTACCGGCAATTACTTACCATCCAAATACCAGTACACATTGTTAAAGGCATCTTGTCCCGCACAAATACCTCTCTAAATAAATAAATACATTACAATAGTACAATATAAAAACATAAGCACTCAGATGTTTAAAACACAGTAATTAATGAACATGAAATTTATGAAGAGTGAAATTAATTTTCATGCAATTAGCAAACAGACTAGTAAAACTAGATGATCACTTTAACCCTTCAGCAGCAGGAAAAACATTGTTCAATGCCAGCAGAATTGTCAATCCAGCACTATCTTAACTCAATTTCAATTTATAATAAGCACACCAAAATTGACATTTTTACCAACAATTAATAATTTAGACACAGAAATGAATAACATTAATACCTTAGGCATGGTCTTAAGAACTTAATTTACTTAACACAGCCAGTGAAGCTTGGTCTCAATTTGGCCTTAGTCTAATCCCATCCAGAAATACGAAGAAATACTCATCATATATTACCAGATACCTGCACTACAGAGTAACCTTTTATTATATCCTTTATAGAAGCTATGTATCCCTAAAAGATGAATAAAATCACAATATCCTTTATAGATGCTATATATCCCTAAAAGATGAATAAAATCACAATATCCTTTATAGATGCTATATATCCCTAAAAGATAAATAAAATCACAATATCCTTTACAGATGCTATATATCCCTAAAAGATAAATAAAATCGCAATGTTCACACAGATCCACAAAATATTTAAAAATCAGATTACAAAGAAACTAGATCCCCAAATTAAAAATACGAGGGCTATCCAGAAAGTAGATTACGTTTTGGAATAAAAAAATAAACAAAGTATAGGAAACAAATTTTATTATATACAGATGAAAGCCACACTCAAATACTACTTTTCTACATAGTCACCATACAAATTAAGGCATTTATCGTAGCGATGTACGAGCTTGGAAATTCCTTCGTCGAAAAATTCGGCCGCCTGCGCCTTCAACCACTTCGTTACCTCTTCTTGCAGCTGTGCGTCGTCATCAAAACGCATTGATTGCAATTTCGTTTCACAGTTCACATGTTTCGTCACCAGTAACAATGCGATCGAGTAAAGAGTCACCATCCTTATGGTAAGCGTCCAAAAAGTTCAACGCTGCAGCCATTCGCTGATTTTTGTGGTCCTCTGTCAAGATTTTTGGAATCCATCTTGCACAAAACTTGTGGTAACCAAGCTTTTCGCTGATGATTTCGTGCAACAAACTTCGCGAAATTTGTGGAAAACTCAAAGAAAGTTCCGTTATTGTGAAATTTCGATTTTCACGGACTTTTAGCATCGACTTTTTCGAGAAGTTCAGGCGGTCACTATGCTGGGGTCTCTCCCACTTCGATCTTCATCGTGAACATTGGTTCGGCCATTTTGAAATCTTATGACACACTGACGCACTCCACCTTCATTGATAATGTTGTCCCCATACACTTCACGAAGCTGGCCGATAGATTTCTATCGGTTTACAGTTTTTTGCAGTCAGAAACCTTATTACTGAGCGCACCTCGCAGCTCGCGGGATTTTCAATTAACACAGACATTTCAAACCGTCACAGTATCTGAATGGAGCACAGCACGAACCTTTCACTAGCACGGCTAGATGCAGACTGAGCTGCGCAACGCTCTGACCCCAAGATGGCCGCGCTAGCCCCGCCCCTAGCGGACACAGACGGAAACGTAATCTACTTCCTGGATGGCCCTCGTATAACACAAGACGCATCAAATACAACCAAATTAAAAACACATAGTAGTTATAATATTTATTCAAATTTGATATCAATGATCAGTTAATATATTTAACATACATGTAATGTTATAATAAACATTTTTATGAAAAAGTGTTGTTTTCAATATTCTTACACCAAAAGTTAAGAATATAATGGAATAACAAAGAACAATTTCACTCATACACATTTTTAATATATAAACCGAACAGGAATCGATTAAGAAATTTTTGCACTAGTGTTCAGCAAAGGTGCAAGCTCTTGTTAGTGGTCTTTAGACTCAGTTGGCTTAATATAAGACTTATCATACAAGTTTCTCAATATCATATTGTATGATGAATCTGATGCTCAAATGACTAACTACTGTAGCTACAACAGATAATGCTACCACTGTTGGAAGACAACTGAAAACATTTTTATGACAGAAGTGGCAACAACTTCTTATTTTAATTGCAAGAAATTTTCCTCAGACAGATTTCTTCATACTAAAAAAACAGTAACACCTGCCTCCATGCACTACAAAATACATCCATATACACACATTTTATTTACTTGTAATTCTCATCATTTCCTTCTTTATGTAAAAATTTGCTCTCGAAAGGGATCATCAGAAATGTAATGTTGGAGCAGCACAGATCTGCAAACAAGTAGCTTCAGGAGAATGGAAATTAAATTGAGAAAGAATAAACTAGGATGCTTGAAATTGCAGTTCTATAAGGAATCGGTTCACAACGAAAAATTAACTAGTATGTAAAACACTCATAACTATAACACTGAAAGAAATAAAATGCAGATATGCTGTAATATTCAATAACATACACTAAATCCGACACACAATGTGCTTGTAAGAAAAAAGTCACATAATCAAATGCTCACAGACTTAAAACATGTTTAAAAAATTTAAAATCAACTGACAGAATATTTAAAAAACAGGCAAATTATTGCTAATGCATGTTTTAAATAAAAATTTGAATTGCAGTATTCAATCTTTTTTTTTTTTAATTAGTAGTAGTGGATAGCAATTTTTTTGAGCTGATGCAACATTTAAAAATAAGTGATGCACACAGTTCGCCCAGTCGTATATGTACTAGTCAACACAAAATCTACAAGCTGATAAAGAAAGGCAAGTAAGCATGTGAACTGTAGGTAACTCTGAAAATGTTATCAGTTGGTTTAGAGCACTTTTAAATGAAACAAAAGAGGGTACATACATTTTCAAATGTATGTTTCAAATTTTTCAAAATGTTTCAAAATTTAACTATTGCAAATATAGAATTGTTTAGAAATATAAAAGTCTCATTTTAAAAAGAAAAAGGAATCTCTCATCACTGTCGCTATAAATCAAGGGATTATTTTGATATTACTTTTCTTGGAAGATGCATAAGATAAAAATAATCTGTTCAATAATCAATAGTCTATTCTTTAACCAGTCACTTGGTTCTGTGGAATTTCTATATGACTTAATAAATACATTCTCGAAGAAGCATAATTCTTAGATTAATTACAACAAGAAATAGAACAATTCACTGTAGAATTAGAGCAGAAAAATCCACATTTTTTTGACATGTTTTTAATGAGCTCTGAAATGTTTTCAGTTCTAAACATGTAAAATTTTCAAATACAGTGTTAACTCTACATAAAAACTGATGAATAAATGAAGTAAATTAAGACTGAATTGATCAATAACAAAATTATACAATGATCTTCTAAGACATACCACACACATAGACAGGAAGATCAGAATGTCAGTTAACTAAGGAAAAAAAAAAAAAAATGTTTGGGAAAAAGAAAACTACTTCCACATATACCAGATTTATCATATTAGCAACATAACCCTCATATATGTAAATTCTCTTAAACAGCTGACTGGAGGTGAAGACAGAAAAACAAGTAATGAAAATAATCCATGAAGCAAAGAACTTATGACATTTAATCTCTGTTGAGAAGGTAAAATCACAACACAAAATTTCATTTCTTAAACACAGGCATGGATGAGGAAAATTTAAAGTTCTGAATTTATCATGAAGAATAACTTCCAAGTATTTGACAATGGAAATGATTTAACTACTCCAGCAGGAAAATTCATTGCCTTCTAATCAAATGTCATTGACTTTCTCTTTACCCTATTTTAAATGCATGATCTCCCATCATCTTACTCCTTTCACAGAACTTTCAGTGAGCTTTATGTAAGTTGGATGCTGCAAATAACAGAAAGTCTAGCATACATGATGGTATGGTGATTTATCACTTTAGTTAAATCAATATACTCCCTGAAATTTCAGGTTAACCAACTTTTTAATCACCATGAGAATACAGGGTTTTTCTGCTAAAGCATAAATGAACCCAGATGGGTAACAATAGGCATCCAGTGGAACAGATATTGCAAACCATGTTTAGTTAGTAAAAATTGCAAAATTAGTTAGCAGCCCAGAAAATAAACGAGACATAGCAGACTTAATGCGCAGGCTCCATGATTATTGGACATCAAATTCGTTGTTTGGGTTTCAATTATGCGAAATCCACAAAGACATCTCAGAATCTCATAACGCAGACTTTAGCAACAAGCCTAGTACCTTCGAACATACAAATATTTCTTCATCACTGAGGGCTTTGTAATGACATTGCAGTTGCTACTATGATCAATCCCTGCAATAATTTTTGCATTTTCTCTCATCCACACTAGACATTAGATCCTGCATAAGTATTTTCACTGTTTAAATATGCCTTGTGACAACATGTTCCACAGTTTCTCTTGATAACTATTATCAATCCCCTCTGAGTTTGTCTCCACTTCAAAACTAATGAAGTACATTTTGATCCTTCACAATAATGTAAATGTATTTTAAAATAAAATTTAAAAAAATCTGAATGTATTCAGATTTTAAAATTACACCCAAAGGGGCTATTTTTTAACGTTTTGTGTGTTACTTTTATTTAATAATTTTAAAATAATTTTAAAATGAGCATATCTTTAGAATTTCCAATACACAGTTGCGGGTGCTGGAGATAAAAAGGTTCCCCCGACCCCCATAGAGTGTTCCCATTGCTCACTTTTAAATTGTTGAGTTTGTTAATAAAAAATTTGTTAAAGTTTTATAAAATATGAAATATATAATAAAACAAAATCTAAATTTCGGCTTTCAGATGCCCATATTTGCAGTAGGATTACATCATTCAAAATTGGATGTCTCTAGGTACTGTTGTTTTATCACAATCCGAGAAACATACATACATTTATGCAGATTCTTCATTATTTAATTTCTTCAAATATAATGCAGGGCGATAGTATTTGGTAGCAATTTGAAAAGTGATACAGCCTTTTAAAATTTTCAACGCAAAATGAAAACAATAGTCCTTCAGGGACAAAGCCCCTTTGGAGAAAAAAGACACCGCAAACAAATACCTACCAAATCATCAGGACAATAATTTTCATCCAAATAATCAGCAATGTCTTCTTCCTTTTCTTGATAAACATGATCAATAAGCCACTTTAGTGTTCCTAACTGAAAACCAAAAAAAAAAAAATTTTTTTTTACGCATGTAAAATCTTAATAACATACACTTGTACTCATACTGTTGATTTTATATTAGACCAGGTTGATCAATATAAATGCATCAAAACTGCACCCAAACAAATAAATAATAAAAAAAAAAGTTAAAGTTTTTTATTCTATAATTAGAATAAGACTGATTCATTAATAAATCAGCACTTGCCTTTTCTTCCGGAGTTAAATCTTGCCAGGTTGTACCATTTTCAAGGAAGCGTGGAACTTCGGCGTTTTCTTTTATCAATAGATTTCGTAAAAAACAATCAAAGTTGGCAATGCTGAAAAAGAAAAGGTATATTAATATTTTTCTGATAAAAATAAGCCTAAGAAATACTCTAAAAAGATATGAAGTTTTGGTTATAGATAAGAAACTGGGAGGGGGTTTTAATTAAGACTTTCTTGCAGGACTATTTATGAATTGGAATACAGAAAACTAGTACTAGATATCTGCATTCACTTTTTCAGAACTTAACCCTCACTCAACAGAGGCAGACTATGAATGGCAAATTTAATCTTCATAATTTAAATCATTTATTTCTAGAGTTTTCCATGTTAAAGCTATGAGTGACATGAGTATATTGTACGAGAATTATTTCATTTGTGTTAATAACTTGAAAAAAAAAAGTCCATTAGATTTGTATTTTAGAATAAGCACAATTAGAAGATGAGAATTCTGCCAAGAAAATACTAATTTAATAAATAACAAAGTAAATTTCAATAAAATATGTTTAAAATTTTGAGATTTGATTTCATTTGATGGTGAAGATGAATACAGAATCAGAAAAAAAGTTCTAATTCAGAGTATCAAAAAATGGGCTGGTTTAAGAATCTATGAGGCCTGCAGTACCACTCTTTGGTTTGAAGTATCTTTCTTTGTACATCCAGCTTGCCTGCACAGAAAATGAGTTCTGTTTTTCACAGAATTTCTCTTGCTTTCTTACTATACAAAATACAGAATCTTAATTGGTGGTGGAGGGAGTATATTTAAAAAGAAAGATTACATACTTTGAAAGCACATTTAGTTATTGCTACCAGCAAAAGAAACAAACATAACGAAACATTAATTTATATAATTTTTTTTCCCCCTTATAAAAAAAAACTGATATATGGAATTCTTTCAGGATTTTCTCATATATCTTTCTGGGTGCAGAAATCAGATACAAGCAAATTGTACACGGCATTGCCTCACCATGAGCTTTCTCATAATTATTTCATTCAACTTCAAATTCTCATTTTAAAATAGTTAAATACAGGCACTATTTAGAAAACCTAAAATAATGTGGACATGCAAAAAATACTGTTAATAAGAATGCAACTGATCAAGTATTTTGTTGCAAATTAATTATTTATTAAATGATTACAAGCTTTCACACAAAATTAATTTGTCACAAAATAATATTACAACAAATTTTCCCCCTATCATTCGACTTTGCTTCATCAACAGCTTTATTTTAAATATCAAATCTTATGCCCTACATTTAATATTTGGCGCAGGGATTAATTAATTCTTAATGTAACATAGACTGCAACTACTACGGACTCTCCGTAGTTGGCTATGGAAATTCATGAAAAACTACGAGCTACAAAAAGTATGGAAAAAACTTGGGGATTTTACAGAAACAGGGTAGATGAACCAGTATGCAAAATGGAAGCAACTAATTCATCTGATGATTGGCTGAATATTTGTGTCATCATATATCATGTGTTGAAGAATAGTCAATCGTAGATCAGTAACTCCAACCATTAATGACTTGTCAATAGTACCCTGCAACATGTGTCTACTTTGTCTGTCTGTCTCCCAGGTTCATTGCTGCCGCGTGTTTAGCCTGCATTCTGCTCCATTGTTTAGATTACGGCGAGAGCTTAGCTTGTGTCTTGTGAACTGTGATTCAGGTGGAAGTTCTTTTTAACCCCTTAACTGCCACGGGCGTATATATATGCCTTGCTCAGATGATGCGTTAACTGCCCCGAGCGTATATATACGTCCTTCCAAAATACTATCATTTGCTTTGCACTGCTACCCCTAAAATTATTCGCAAAGCTTTGGAATGCAACACAACAATGACCTTGACAAAGTATGCAAAGGAGGATACTATTTCAGAGAAGTGTGGCGAGAAATTGGAGAGAGGGGTGTGTCTAAAGCGATGAAAGTAATGACTGCGTGGTATTGGCTGGTGTTGTTTCAATAAAACGTATTTTTTAAAATTCTGTGTCCTCCGTTTTCGTTTACTTTTTGTTAGTAGGTTCCAGGAATAAAGAAAGATATAACGGATGTTTCAAACCCATTTATCTTTTTTTGAACCGCTCGTGCTTCATATTGTTACTGAAACTAACCGCTTTGTAGATAAGTATATGAACCAACACACTGCAAACAAAAAATCAAGAACAAAATCGTGGCATTCAACCAGTTCAGAAGAAATATATGTTTTTTTTTTTAGGCATACTGATTTCACAAACTATAACATTGAAACCTGATATTACACTTTACTGGTCTAAAAATGAATTGATCGAAACTCCATTTTAGGGATCTTTTTTATTATAAAAACATAATTTTTATTATGCTTTTACTCAAAACATTAAATTTTGTGCATTCATTTTTTTTCTTTTATTCATTATTTTGTGAAAGTAAACAGTTTCTAGAAATTAAAACTTGCACTTATTTTCCCCCTAATACATCGCATAACTATGCGCACCTATGTGAAAAACTGTGGCACTGGGAAATCAATCTTGTACGTTTTCCACGGCAGTTAAGGGGTTAATGATGCTACCTCGAATGAAGAAGCCAAAATGATCAAAGTAGCAATTTAAAAATTCATATTCTTCAGAATTTCCATGCATTAAAACATACAAAATTCCTGTGAATCATGCCCACTACAATGTATGCAACAAAGACTTCTCAGCTAGACATGGTGGAAAAGATGACTGTAAATGGCATGATTTTCCTCAAACACATAAAGAACTTGGCACTGTAAAATCTAAAGAAATAATGAATTTCTTAATAAAAGATGATGAAACAGATCCTATAAAAGCCGAATGCTATTTTGTTCGATTTTTGATTGAACATAATCTACCGCTTTCTGTTTCAGATCATTCCAAAGCAATGTTTCCAGATTCTGCCATAGCAAAAAAATTTAGCTGCAGTCATACCAAAACTGCTGCTATTGTGAAAACGCTTGCAGAAAGTACTGCTGCCGATATTATAAAATCAGTGTGCAATACATTTTCTCTAAGTACTGATGGAAGTAATAATAACAATGATAATAAACTGTACCCATTGATTATAACATATTATAGTAAAGAAAAGGGAGTGATAATTGGGTCATTGATTTCTATTTTAGAATGCCTGAATAATACAGGAGAAGGTATTTTTAATTGTATAAATGAAAACTTTAAAAGCAAAGGTTTAGAATGGAAAATTCACTTATAATTTCCTTCAGATAATGCTAGTAATATGATTTGAAAGTTTAAAGGTGTAGCATTATTTATCAGAATGCATCAACCAAGCAACCAAGCATAATCATCTGAGGTTGTCCATGCCACCTCTTGTATATAACTGCAAAAATGGCTACTGAAAAATTAATTGGCTCAGAAATCGAAATGTTGTTAATAGATATATATTTTTATCTGGAGAAAAGTTCGAAACGGAAGCATAGCTTCAAAGTTGCTCAACACATTTTGGGACATAATGGAAAATCTCATAAAATTCTGAAATACTGCAGTACGAGATATTGTCTCTTGTAGAATTTATAACAAGGATTTTGGAACATTGGGATGCTGTCATTAATTTTTTGGGGGATCAACCAGATAACAGTGAGAATGAAAGAAAGAGATTGCAAAACATTAAAAAAAAATTTACAATCATCTACCACCAAACCATACTTGTTATTTTTGAAAAATACTTCATCTTTGTTTACAACAGTAAATATTAATTTGCAACAACAAGCTCCTTATATACACAAATTGAGAAGAGAACTTGTTGAACTTTTCATGAATTATATTTGTTAGATTCGTAAAATCATCAGTAATTTCTAAAGAAAATGAAGATTTTGCTCCAACATCTATTCCATTTCAGAAGTATAGTAAAGAAAAAGAAAATGAAAATTTAATAATTGGTGTGGGAAACAAGACTTATATTTATAAAAATGCTAAAGTTGAATGAAAAGTGAAGTGAAATCATTTTTCGATTCTGTGCGAGGTTTTTCTCTTTGTAACTGCACGTTTATATATATATAATGGATAAATTTCCACTAAGTGATCCATTATCTAAAACATGCTGAAGTTGCTGACATAAACTTCAGAACTGTAAGTTTCATTTTCATCTGTTCTTTACTTCATGAGTACTTTTCCATCGATTATTGATGAAAAATATCTTGAATCAAAGTGGAAATTGAATTTTCCATGTTTAAAGTAGATGATTTGAAAGAAAGTTGTAGATTTGCGTATTGATATAGCATGGGGAGAAATTGCCAAATTAAAAAATATGAATGGTGTATTAAATACAAGTACTGCCTACTGTAATGCTTGCTGTCTTAATAATACCTCATTCAAATGTAGCTTGCGAAAGAATTTTTTCTATTGTTAAAAAAAATCAGATGGAATTTCAACCAAATTTAGGTCCTAAAACTCTAAGCAGTTTTGATTGAAAAAATAAATATGCAGGCAAATGAAGAACTGTGTTATAAAAAAACATTCTCAAAATCAGAACTTAAGCTTGCGACGTGCTGAAAACTTAAATTTTCAGCGGGGACGGCATTTCTACCCATGCGGTGTTTAGGTGCACTAAAAATAAAATATTTCCTATGATGGTCATTATACATAGTTTGGATGGCCTTGTCATTGTACACAGACTGGTGCTGTTCCTACACAAAAGACCACTCAGTTGCTTTTTGCGAACGTTATTTTGTTTACATTTTTTCCCTTGAACGGACCTACATGCCTTATTCACCCTAAACGGGATTCTCAGAACAATAACATTCTTTTTCCTTTCAAGTCAACATTCTCATCAGTTTGAATAGTCTCTCTCCTCTGCCATTCGATGAATCTTAGAGGACCCATCCTCTCCCCACCCCTGCCTTTTCTGCAATTTTTTCCAAAGGCGGACACGACTCCATCTGCCTCGCAATAAAAGAACTCTGACGTATTTCCTCTTTAGCATGAATCGATTTTTCTTGGCATTCTGCCAGATACAGATTTCCATCAGTTTGGGTACAAGTACTTGTTGGATAGTTTTTAAGTACGAAGGGAAAGGGAAATTTTTGAAAATGTCACCTAAACAGTA